GGGTTTTAGATAAAGCCTCGCCTTGTGTCCCTAGGCCTGCTCCTCAAATTGAAAATATTTCTTAGGACAACTCTGGGAAAGTTGAAATAACCTTTGATAGGAGAAACTCCTTCTCTTCCAGAGTATATGCTTATAGCAGTCGTAATAGTTTTGCTTCTGCTAGGAGGTCATTCTCTTACAGATCTCAAGCTTCTATATCTGAAATCCCTAGATCTATTAATCATGATTCGGCCATAAATCTACAAGGTTTAGATGCCTCTTCTAGAATCCCTAGAAATGTTTATCAAACCTCTGAAAAAGAAGAAGAAAACCAGAGTATTCAATCTCCAACTTACTCTTCCCTTAATGAGTCTTATGATGTTATCTTATAAATTCATTATAGATAAAAAGACCCTTAGGAAAGATTTCTACTCTAAGGATTGGAAACCTCAAAGAGAGTGGTTGTTTCAAAATTATAAGGGAAAAAATAGGTCCAATATCTAAGAGGAATTCTATCAATTTCTCAAAAAAGTCAAACAGAACATCCCATTCTTTGATTGGTATCATGCTTATACCATTCATAATAATATTGATTATCCTTGGCAAAAGGATGTTATAAGTACTTCCTCTGCTAATGTTATATCGTGGCAATCAAAGACGAACAAATTGTCCAAAGTGAATTACCACCCACAACACAATACCAGTTACCAAACTTGAAAGATAAAAGCAATAATTATGTTACTGCTACTCCTTTCAAAACCAAGAACCCTGATGAAACTATTACTCCTAATGATATTCAAGGCCTCATGGAACAGGCTAATTACACCAACAAATACCTTCAGGTTTTAGGAGAAAAAATCTCTATTAATCCTGTTAAGCTTAAAGCTGGAGAAATAGCTTCCTTTTCTTCTCAATTTCAATTAGAAAAACCTCTTTTCAAACCTTTTAAGATTAGTGCCAAAGCCAAACAAAAAATCTTTGAGCTTAGACAAAAAGAAAAGGCCAAAGCTATAGATGACAACCAGAATGAGCTACTTAGTAAAATTACTAGTTTGCTCACTACTGTCCCTAATACTCCTCAAGCCTTGGAAGAATCTAGCGCCAAACCTAGGACTAGATCCCTTGCCAAAACAGTTAATGCCATCTCTAAAACTGATTCAGAACAAAATTCTAAAACAGATTCTGTTTTAGTCATCAATCCAGTAAATAACTGAAAAAATTCCTCCAAACTCTATTATAATAGAGCCGCTGCTCCTAATCTTATATTAGAAGATAAACAAGATTTTATCTAAAGTTTTAATTCTAATAATATTTATATTTAAAATATTGATGGATTATCTGAATATAATATCATTGCCAAACTCTAAAACATGTCCATTGTCACTATGGACTGTTTCACTAATCAAAATATGCCTGAAGACACTATTTTTTACATTCTAGTATATATATATATATATATATATATATATATATATATATATATATAAAATTTAAAAATATAGCTATTAAAATTTGTTTAAATAATAAAGTTATTTAATATATTTTTAATTTTGTTATATTAAATTAATATATTATGTTATAATTCTTTTTATTTATAATTATAATAAATATAAATTATATTTTATTAAAAATTAAAAATATTTATACACAATTACATTTTTAAATAATAAATTTATTTAATAATAAATTATCATATCTGTTATATTTAAATAAGTTAAAGAGTGGTTAAATCTTTAAACAGGAACAAGACGCAATCAAAACTGAACAAAATAAAATTAAAAAATAAAATAATATTATTCTATTAATATTTTTTTATATTCTTAATTTTATTATTATTACTATTTAATTATTATATTAATATATTATGTTTAATTATTTTTCTTTATAATAAATAAATATTCTTTAAATATGAATTATATTTTATTCAAAACTAAAATTTTATTAAAAAATGATAGAAAAATAAAATAAAAAATTTTGTATACAATATATATATAATATAGGACTATATAGTAAATAATATAAATAATATAATTCTAAATAATTATTTTTCACAAATTTGACATAGATGTAAATAGATTTTTCTTAAAAAATATAGTTGTTAATATACATTCAAAATTCAATAATTAATAAATATTTACAAAAATAAGTATAAATAATTCATTTATCAATTTATAATATATATATATATATACATATATATATATGTTTTAATGTATTGTATCAGTAATATTTTCTATATTATATTAATGTTATAATATAGTTAATTTTACGTATATTTATTAATTTAAAATAAAAATAAATAAAATTAAATATTTTGTAGTTATTTTTTAAATTTAATAGTTATTATTATTGCCATTATATATATATATATATAAAGTTTTATTACATATTTTTTATTAAGATAAAAGTTTAGAAATATAAGTTATTTTAATTTAAATATAAATTTTATTAATTCTTACTACGCACATATGTTATTTTTATTTATAATTTTTTAATAAATATTTATTTTTTTTTAAATAGAATAATTTTCTTTTAGTTGATTCAACAAATTTTGTGAGTATTATTTTTGTTATCAATTTTATATATTTATTGTGATTTTATTTATTAAATATAAGATATCTTTACACAAACAAAATATAATTATCATAAAAAAATAATTAAAATCTTTAATACTTTAATTATAGTTATCAACATATATTTGAAATTCAATAATTCACAAATATTTACATAAATAAAAAATTAAATTGTTAAATAATTTATCAATTTATATTTTATATATAAGTATATATTTTAATTTATTGTAAGAGTAATATTTTTTATATTATATTAATGTTATAGTGTTGTTAATTTTACCTATATTTGTTAATTTAAAATAACAAATTAATGAAATAAATAAAATTAAATATTTTGTAATTATTTTATTTTTATTTTAATTTAATAGTTATTATTATTTTTATTATATATATATATATATATATATATTACATTAAATTTAAATTATTTATTTTTTAAAATATAATAGTTTTCTTTCAGTTGATTCAACAAATTGTGTAAATATTATTTTTTGTGATCAATTTTATGTGTTTACTATAACTTTTTTTACTAAATATAAGATGTCTTTAAATAAATAAAATATGATCCCAAAAAAACTAAATTTTTTTAATAATTTAATAATTTTTAAAAATAAATCAAAAAATATAAATAAAAGCTTATTTAATATGAAACATTTATAATTAGTACTCAAATAATATTTTAAAAATTATTTATAAAATTATATAAAAATTATTACAACTATTTAATAATTCTCAATAATACAGATAATAAGTAGAAAAATATGTAAACTAATTTAGTAATAAAATATTTATATTTTTGTTAATATTAAGATTTTTTTTTTTTGTAATAGACTTTGTTAACAAGCTTCAAGTCAGGTCAGGCTCAAGTCTAATAATTATGTTACAAGCCAAACTTGTTTTAGGTAAAGTTTGGCTTGGCCTAACTTGTTTTCATCCCTAGCCGTCATACATAACATTAAATAATTATTAATGTTCAGATTCAACCGATCAAAGCATTAGTTTAAGGTTTAATAATTGAACTGTAAGTAAACTGTTTGAATTAAATAATATTTTTAAATAAATTATAAGTAATATATTAAATAATTTAAAAAAAAAAAAAACACAGTACCATAACTTCGTAACATTAAAAGATAAAAATCACACATTATTTTTAGGTTTTAATAATCAAACTTACATATAAAAGTTTGAATATAATAAAATAAAGTTCACCAAAACAAGCCCACTAGCAATGACATCTAGAAACTAAAGAAATAAAAAATAATAAATATTATCAAAAGTTTCAGAAATCATAATATTTATCACCGATTGAATCGATCAAATATCAATATATTAGCATTTGCACTACTTTTACCTGCCTCATCACCACCAAGCTGAAAACGTGCACATATTTTGAATTTTTGAATTTGTTGAACAAAAAGGTGCAAATGTGCAGCGATAGCCTCTGAGAACAACATAGCTTCGACAAATGGCGTAGCTCTTACAAATGGCAGAAGCAACACGATTCACTATTCACGAATGGCCCAGAGCTTAGCTGAGAAGACCAACGCGGGATCCAAAACTTTCCTCTACAAACAAAAAAGAAAATGACGTCGATTGGCCGCATAAGGGAAAATTGGGCTGAACCGGCTACTGCCGATTGTTATCAATTTTTAAAACATCCGATTTACTGGTTCTATAATATACCAGACCGGTTCCCTAGTCTAGTTTAATTTCGTGAACCATGATAATTACATCTCATTTTAATTGTTGACTATGTTTTTATTTGATTTTATATTTTATTGTATATGATTTAATATAACTTTACATTATTGTCATTATTTAATTCTAGGTGTATGCCCTAATTTTGAAAGGAGATGTAAATATTTACTTTCATTCTCTCTCTTTATTTATTTATTTATATATATATATATATATATATAAAATCTTATACTAGTATAAATCTAAAATTTTTTATTTAACTTACATATAATATGTTATAATTTATTATTTTACTAACCGTTAAATATAAGTTAAATAAAAAGTTTAGATTAAATGTAAAATTTTTTAAATTTAAACTAGAATAAAAATTTTACCCATATATATATATATAGATTTTTATATATTGTGTACACGCTTCATACAACGATAGTTTCCTCTACCAACTAGATACTTTTCTAAGATCTTTGACTAGGGCCAATGAGACTTTGATGAGGCTCGATCATTGTTGATTTTCACGAGTCACCAAATTTTGCGTGTATGGCCTAGTTTATCCGACTTACCCACCAAATAATCCCTCAAAATTATAAATGAGTCATTTTAACCCTTTCATGATTTGATTGGAAAGATTAAAATGTTCACATTTAGTGAGAGGCTTTTGCAAACACGAAATAACTTAATCCATACTCTTGGAATTTGAAGCAAAACTTTATGTTTGCAGTCACTGAGAATCAACCAGTTGAATGGATGTAAACAATAAAGAATCAGCACTGTAGCCAGACTCATCGGATCATATTTTCCATCAATTTGGCAAAAGGAAATATCATGAACAAGATGTGAATCAGAAAATTGGATGTTAAACCGTCAGGTTTTAAGAACCTGTCCATAAGAAAAATCAAGCAGGCAACCACTGGTTTGATGGTCAAAAACATTGCTAAACCGGCCTATACACTTTCCAAGGCACTGCTCATTTTTTCGAACTTACAACCCAATATATCAACTTCAATTTTACAACTTGATTAAAATTTCAAACAAAACTCATTTTGTGGAACAAAAAAGAAATCAAAACAAAACTCAGTTTCAAATGAATAATCAAACCGTAACTATACATATTACCTAATAATGACTGGGCAAAATAAGAATAGACTCCCCTCCATGAGACATTTTCTTGTAGTATCTGAGAACAAAGATTGTATGGATCTGCTGTTCACGTCTAAGTCCACCCTTTCAAAGATGGCAATGAATAGAAATGAATTCATTCACAGTAGAACATGCCAGTTAATTTGAAACCAATTCCCCATTGAAACAAAATGCCTTCTTATCACTACAGCTCTATTTTCATTAGTCTTTGTTCCTCTTTCTGCTAATGGGAGAACTTCCCTCAATCAAACTTCACAGTTTTACCCCCTTGATGCTGCTTTGTTGGTTCAGCTGGGAAGTATTTTATGCCAACTAGATCCCCTACTCTGCTAATAACCTAAGAACAACCACAGAAAATTACAACACAACATATAACAGAAGAATCAAATTTAAAAAAAATCTCACAAGAAGCATATTGAAACAAAGACATGACATATATAATGACCCTTGAATCTGACACAAGCAGGGGAGAGAAAAGGGAAATGTATGTTCTCCTGCTGGTAGATAGAAAACATCCATTTTCTTTACAATGGAAAACACTGCAATATTGTTGCAACAAATCTTATCAGCTACCTTTCCACACAATTCACACACTGTAAATAGGGTAACCTAGTGCAAGAGGCTCCCACCTAGTGAAATCTTGGAAGGATATACGTGTGCAACTTCCACAACCAGAGAGGCTAATTCCAAGATCTAAACCCATGACCTTCAGGTCACAAGGCAACAATCTCATTGTTGTGCCATGGCTTGCCCTCAAAATTGACACATTAACAATCACTTGTGTACTATTGAAAAAAATAAACATTGAATGAAATTCAAAATTCACACCTGCAAGGCTTTGATAAGGTCTTCCTTTGAATGAGAAGCAGAAATGCATATGCGTGCTCTAGCCAGTAGCAATGGGGTTGCAGGAAATGCCACTGTCACAACAGCAATCTGAATTCAAAAGTCATAAACATTAATTATCAAATTTATTCATATCCACAATGTAGGGACTCAATACGGAGCATATATATTTGGATGTCAAAGCTCTCACATTCTGCCTGAGGCACTCCCTTGAGAAGGCAGGGATTTTGGCTGGATTGTAAAGCATGATTGGCATTACTGGAGAATCATTGTCCCCAAGAACCTCAAATCCCATCTTTTGCAGTTCCGACCTGAAAAAGTTGCTATTCTCTCGAATTTGTGCAAGTTTCTGGGCACCTATATCAAATCAACTTACATCAAGTCATCAACTCAAAGTAAACAAAGTAGATGAAAGCCATTTTGGGTTTATGAAAATAAATGGCCAACAAACAACACAAATGCAAAGCCAGACCTCTATTGGAACCATCCTCGCCAAGAATAACTTTTATGGATGATATTATCTGTTGTGCTGCTGGTGGTGAAATAGAAGTTGCATAAAGATGAGCAGGGCAAGTGTACTTCAAGTATTGGATAAGCTCCTGACAGTAGATTAAAAAGTTCAGCATAAGATACAGAGCACAAATTAATAGTGAGATACAGAATTTGCACAATGCTAACTTGTAGAGACCAATACAAAACACAAATACAGCAATATAATGTGACTTCAGCTGTATGAAACTGATAAGCCTCCAATTAATATTTTGGTTAAGAAAGGAAAACCTAGCAAGTGCAGTCTGCAGATTTAAGAAACATGATATAGAAGGGGCAACAAGAGAATTATACCCAAAGGAAGATGATAAGAATTATCTTTCTAGCAAGAGTGTATTATTAATGAGAATAGTATGGGAATTACAGAAAAGAAGAGCAAATGACCCCAGCCAAGGAAAGCTCCTATGGCCCCAAGCTATACAGCCAAAAATTGATTTAGAATATGCCTGGCCCATTAAACTTACCCATATAACAAATTCTAATGTATGTTTTCTCTCTCCTCTAACAAACTCTCTTCCCTCTCATATATGCAGTTTAACCTCTTATCAAGCCCTTTCTTTTACCAAACAGTGCCCAAGAACCTATCAATACCCACCATGAGAAAGGTCACCTTGTCCTCAGGGCAGAAAAAAAAAATTAGCGTCCAATATTGCTTGCTTCTCCCTTAGTTGTTGTATTGGCAACCACAGAATGCCACAAAAGGATCCATTTATCAGTCAAAGAGATCAACACTGTGAGGCCTTAATTAGGAAAATAAACTCCAATGGCAATTAAGCAAGAACCATCCAAGTTCACAGATAAGAACCTCAGGAGAACCACACCTCAAAAGTTAACCGTTGTAGGTGTAGAGCCCAAGGCCTTATAAACCCCAGAATTAGAATCTCATACTTCCAATGTTGGACGCAAGTCCCATACCTTGGGGATTGGATCCTAACATTGACATTTCACATTTGGACTGTTATGGCTCCTTTAACAAGAATCCTTGAAAGAGGTGGGGCGAAAGGATTGTAAGTAGCAGCACTGTCCTGTAGGACAAAGTGTTAGGATAATTGGTGGCACTTATCCTCAACATTACAAAATCTGCTGCAATTCTGCTAATTGTTGGCCCTCTAATCCTCTTTTTATTGCATGAGCAACCTAAACCAATTGGTAGACTTCTGATAAGAACCTTGGGAGAACCACAGCACAAAAGCTAGCTATTGTATTTGGAGAGCCCAAAACCTTATAAGCCCCACATTAGAATCCATACTTCCAATGTGGGACTCAAGTTCCATACTTTGCAATTGGATCCTAACATCTCACCATGCTCCGCAGCCTCAGTGCTCATACGGGCTGATTGTGCACTACCCCTTTAACTAGTCCCAGGGGAACACTGCAATGGTTTTACCATCTGGGCCACTCATTCAGCTGGGAGACATGGTAAAAGACTCTGATACCAATTGATAAGAAGAACCTTGGGAGAACCACACCACAAAAGCTAGCTTTTGTATTTGGAGATCCCAAAGCCTTATGAACTCCACATGAGAATATCATACTTCCAATGTGCAACTCAAGTCCCATACCTTACAATTGGATCCTAACAACTTCATTGCAACATTGTCCAACAGCTTGTGAGGCATTTAACCATGCTGGTAACCAATCTTACTACCTCTTAGAGTAACATTACAACCATTTTGAGTGAAGCCCTTGGTTTTTGATAGTAACCCAAGCCTCAAACCAATTGATCAATTGTCACATGGGTCCAAGATATGAAATATTCACAAGAGAAAGCCCAAAGAGGGTGATATGAGAAATCACACGTCAAGAGTAGAGAGTTGGTAACCCAGGGGCGTGTGAAGTGTGAATTGGTTATATATTGTGCATGTATCACACAGTGGGAGGTATTGGGAAGTTTTGAGAGAATGGTCATTGCCATAGTGGGAGGGAGAGTATCTCTCTGTTAAGAGCTTTGCTCTTAGGGACATCACTGTTAGTCTGTTGAGAATTGAGATTGTTCATCTTCTAGTTTCTGCAATATTAATAATCTCTTTCTACAATTCCTTTTCTATAAAATCTACGTTTCAACACCTGTCAGTTTACCTTGACCCATTAATCTTGGTTTCTCCCAAAGCTTCCAACCACTCCATTCTCAAGATAAGATCACAACCTACCAATTCAGAACACAAGCATTCACTTATAATTTTGTTTCTCCAACTTGAAACTCCAAATTTCAACATCTCCCTTGGGAAGAGCACATGATACCATTACCTATGGTCCTATGGTAATTTCAAATTGCTCATTTTTATTGATGGGCAGTGATAAGAACCTTGGGAGAATGACACCATAAAGGCTAGCTATTGTAGTGGGAGAGCCCAAGGCCCACATTAGAATCACATACTTCTAATGTGGGACTCGAGTCCCATACCTTGCAATTGGGTCCTAACAGGCAGTGTTAAAAGAGCCACTAAATTAGTGGTAATGAAGTCATGGCTAGCTCCACTATCAATGAGTTAAAGGACTGGATGCCCTCCTATACATCCTCCTACCTTCACTGTCCTCAGAGAGGCCATATCCATTGGACGCTCCTCTCATACACTAATATTGCACACCATTTCCTCCTCTTCTTAATCCGCTTTACCTTCTATTGCTGATAAGGAACCTATGGATCCTTTCTTTTTCCCCTCCTAAATCAGCAATTTTAAATAATGAGCAGGATTCAGGACCACGATGAGTAGGGTTGTATTGCCTTCCACACTTAAAATATAATTCCTTTTTCCTTTCCATTAGCTCATGATAAGATAGATATCGCATAATTCCAGGTTGAGGTTCCACGTCTGTTCCTTCATTTGGGATTTAGTGGACTGAACTGTCTTAGAATTAGGGACTGCCTAGCTCCTCATTCCTCTTGCCACATAATTAGTAGGCGAAATCATTGCATATCAATTGAGTGATTGCAGGGCAAGTACTTCTGACATGATCTCTTTAATCCTCCCAAGAAGAATCCCATGTACTGATCATCTAGCATAGTTGGGATTTGGACAGCTAACATCTCAAACTGTTCGACAAACTTGTCAACCATTCCTTCTTGAGTAAGCACCTTCAATTGAGAGAAGGGATTTTCCAAATAGCAGTCCCCATAACGAATAGTGCATGCTTAAGGATCTTCTGGTCTAAATTTGGATTCTCCTCCTTCATCACTTTGAAGTTTGAACCAGTGCCAAAGTCATCCCCTCCATACAAATCTGGGTGAGTTGTACTCACATATCCAGGGCTGTCTCTTGCATGGCGAAGTATGCCTCTGCACAAGATACCCATCTGATAGAGTCATCACCAAAAAACAGAGGTAGTTCAACGCATTTAGCATTGAGACAATATTCCTGTGATGAGAATGGAGTCTACACTCCTGTTCAACCGCGTCAAAATTGCCTTCATGCTGCTATTATTACCTTTTGATTAGCTCAGAAATGAGTTTGTGGGCTGCTGTTAGCACTGGGATCCCTCTCAGACTTCAGAGTGCACAGCTGCAAGGAACTGGGCAAGGTCCCTGACACTATTCAGCAAGGAACTCAGCTGGACTGAGTGTTCCTTCAGCATTTATGATTTCTCATCAAATCCTCCTGGCTTTTGAGAACCGACTCAAGATTCACAAAGTGAGCATCAATTCATTATGAAGCCATGTGAGTATGCGTACACTAGTCTCTCCTTTGACAATCTCTTAACGAAGGCACCAATCGATAAGAACTATCTTTCTAACAAGGAGTGTATTATTAATGAGGATAGTAAGGGAATTAGAGAAAAGAAGAGTACATGCCCCCAGCCAATGAAAGCATTTATGGCCACCCAGCTATGCAACCAAAAATTCATTTAGAATCTGCCTGCCCCCATTCTCCCTAAAACCTCTATATAACAAATTTTGAGGTCTATTTTCTCCCTCCTCTAAAAAACTCTTTCCCTCCCATTTGTTATATACAGTTCAAGTGTTCAACCTCTTATCAGGCCCTTTCTTAACCAAATTGGGCCCAAGAACCTATCAGAAGATGACATGCCTAGAGAGTGGGCAGTTATAGTAAGGAGAAAACAGGACAGCTTGCAATCTAGGCAGAGGAGAGAAGACAAGACAAAAAATTGAGTGAATAGAACAGAGCAATCTCTGGGCTCAAGACTCAAGATATTCACTGGAAGGTGTATTTCTGTTACGTTTTCCTTTCTAGTATCAGACCATATGTTCCATTTGTAAGGATATGTTGCACAGGTACTGTTACAAATATCCATGTAGTTTGATACAGTATGCAAATGCATTAATATTTGTAGAAATTAAGATACAGGCATTGGCCAGGCAGAAACATATATCAAATAAATATTTATATTTATTCATGTAAAAATAAATAATATTTAATGGATGATTCTTCTATCCTAAGCTCGATGTAGTTGTTCTCTCCCATAATTGTTTTACCTCTCGTGCCCTTGTCATCTACTCTAACCCTGGTAACATCATTCGACATCATCAATAATTAAAGTACCATGTCCAGTTCTCCATTTGACCTCCTATTCTGACAGATTTTTGCAACTCGCTGCATCAATTTAATCACTAAATTTGGAGTATATTTGAAGAAACATACCTTTGATCCCCCAATGTAACCTCCGCATGAACCAAAAGATTTGGTGAATGTTCCCATCATAATGTCAACATCGGCAGTATCCACACCCAGGAGCTCACAAACACCTCTTCCTGTCTTTCCCACAGCTCCAATGCTGTGTGCTTCATCCAAATATGTATATGCCTATAAAGCAATTGAAGAATGCAGAAAGTAACAATAAAACAAAGAAAAATGGAAAGTAAAACTTTATATAAAGTCTATCCCAAATCCCCCTTAATAGTTGAGAAGGAAGGAGTTTTAAATGAAGGAAAAACTCCAACCTCATGTACCGTTGCCCCTTCTCTGAACTAGTAGGATCTTATTTTATCCTCTTTTACCCTCAAACAAAGAATAGCATCATGAAAAGCTGTCCTATGAGAATATCCAAAATTATTCCAACAAAGTGAAAAAGAAAAAGCTTTTAGAGGGGAACAAATAGGATAAGATCTTATTTTTTTTATATCGCACATTTGAGTCAATAGCTTAAATTTAATTTAAATGGAACAAAAGTCTTCCTGGACATGTGAAAAATACCCCATAAGAAACAGGTATAAATAAATAAAAGAATTTCAGTCTGTACATTACATCAGCACTAGAATAATAACCAACCTTATATTTTTTGCATATAGCTATGATCTCTGGAAGTTTGCAAAGCTCTCCTTCCATGCTGTATATCCCCTCCACAATAACCATTATCTTCTTCCAGGGCCTATGTGTCCTTGGCTGTCCCTCAGCAATTTGTTCTCTTAACACTTCTTCTAGATGAGATGGCACTGCAAGAAGGCAAGAAGACAAGAAGTAAATAAACAATGTGATAGAAACTGGGTATCTTCTTAAAAAGAATTAGGTATGACCACAATTACAAGGATAGAACACTGCAGTTCTTAGAGGGACTGCTCCTCCCAAGCCAAAGGCCCTAACTCTCTCACAATTGACAAGCTCATCTCTCTCTCTGCCTCCCTCTTATTTATAAATATATATGCCTTATTTCCTCTACAATCTCAACCTGTCCAACTACTAACTAATTCAGGCTAACTAACTAATATATTGTAACTATATACTAATGGGGGTTCCTAACTAAGATATCATAACTAACTATTAATGGGAGGTTTAACTAACATAATGCTGTGACCTCTGTCAGCAACTTCACATAACACAAACAGAGATGACGAAAACAACAACAACTAAACCTTATTCCACTAGGTAAGAACATAAAACAGAAACAAATTGAAAAAATGTAATTCAGCAAGTATCCGAGTACAACTAACATACCAAACATTCAAAATACATAGAAACATAACTAATCAAAATTTAGCTCAAGTACACATTCTTTTTGTTTAATTCAGTCATTAGTAATGAAGTCACCATATGAAATTAACTATCATACATATTTAGTTTGAAGATAATCTCCCAACCCATGAATTAAAATGAAGACCTCTCTTTCCATAACAGTATGCAAGGTAACTGCAGAGCTGGCTACTCAATGACTAACTCAAAACTTATTTTAGTATACTGCAAAGAAATATGCTCACCATTATGTTGAAAAACACGAATAGTTGCTCCGGATCCTCGTGCACCATTAACAATTGAGTTGTGGTTCAATGAATCACTAATAATCAAACTTCCCTGTAAAAGAAAGTTATACCAATGAATAATAATGCAAACATTAGCATTTCAATAAGGAAAAATTACTAAATTTCACAAACCTTCCCCATCAAGACTGGAAGAATAGCTGAGTTTGTCACATATCCCATACCAAAAACTAAAGCAGCTGGCTTCCCAACAAAGTTTGCTACACACTCCTCCAATTCATTGTGAAGCGCAGTCGTCCCTACACATTTGAGGAAACCTTATAAGATAGATGTAAACAACAACAAACAAAACCTTGTTTAAATGGCTAAAGAATACCCCCTCCAGTCCTTTTTATAAGAACTAAGAATACTTTTGCTAAAACCTCAACTCTTAAAATTGAGTTTAATTGTTTAAATACCTAAAATTAGTTTTTTTTTAATTGAAAAAAAAGTACACGTTTATTAAATTAGAGATATAAAAGTGTGATAAATGCTTTTTTAATAAAATTTTACTATCATTAGTTACTTAAACTCAGCTCTAAGAGGTTAAGATTTTTCTAAAAAAAAATTAACAAATATTGCATCTAAAAATGATTGTCTGTTTCTCATAATTAGAAAAAAATATTAATAATTATTTTTTATAAAAAATACCAACCCCCGTCCACCCGGGCACTGCAAGTGCTTGGAGAATACTTCTTCAAGGTATCAACTACTCGAGGTGTGCAGTATTCATCCGCCGCAGCAAAACCGAGGTAGTTGTATGATCCCAAGTTAAGGCATCTACTTATTTTATCAGTTCGTCTGCATTAGGCAAAACGGTCGGGAAAATAGGCGTCACATAAATTTCTGATCTAAAGCTCTTAAGATTAAAAAAAAAATGATATTTCAGAAAACATAGTTAGTCATAGGCCTGAAAATTAAATAGAGGGTTATACTTTAGTGTCTTGTTATTATCATTCGAGTAGCGTTCCACTACATCAAACCATGCATCAGGAGCACTTGCAATTGGTCTCCCAAAACAGTCCTGCGAAAGAAAGAAAAAAAAGTAAGAACACCCACTTAAAAGAAATACCGAAAAATCCATAACCACATACCTGCATTGCTAATTTATATTATATTGCAACTGATTCTTCACATAAAAAAGAAAAACAACGACACGCAAACCTTACAAAATTCAAATTCAAGACATCCAACATTGGAAGATTAAAAAACCAAAGAACGTTCGATTTTTTTCCCCTTTCTACTAAGGACGCGAAAAGTAAAATAAAAACCTGAATGCGAAGGTATAAACGACGAATATAAAAATCTTCGAGCCCTAAGCAGATCGGTGCGTAACCCTGTTGGTAACGAGAAACAAACAAGCGCGGTTATTATTACTATAATATATTATATTATTATATGTACAAAGAAAACAGAATGAAAAATGGAAGATAACCGGAACGGGGGAGGAACCTGAAGATTGTTGGAGCTGCACCAGTCGAAGATTTTCCGGAAGAAATCTCTGAATTGGCCAAAGGCGAAGAGCAAGCCGTAGCTGAAGTAAGTGGTTAATGCAGTCAAATACGGAATCGCTATCATCTTCTTGTGATTTCAATGGAACGGGGGCGAGAGGAGGATCTGGATTCTGAGTTTGGTTCGGGTTGTGGCAGCGATCAGAGATCCGAACCCGAGTCTCCCGGACCCGACGGAGAGAAAGAGAGCCAAAGAGAGAGAGCGAGGCGAGAGAGAGAGAGAGAGAGAAGCGGTGTTTTTGAAAATGGAAAGGGAATGAACGTGTTGTTGTAATGAAAACACGGTTGATGGAACGAATGAATGAAGAGGGACGTACAATGATAGAAAGAAAGGTCCACGCTGGCTGGCTCCTAAACCAGGGTTCCCTCGCTATAGACGAATAATACAATTCTACAAGGTTTTCTTATATTGGTTTATTTTGACACGTTGATTCCAACTTCTGTCACAAAGTTTTTATTTGAATTTTTTTAAAGAAACATTATTAGGACTACTCGATTTTGAACCCCCAAAATGTGTAGATTTGACATCAACATTTGCTTTTTCCAAAATAACAGACTATTTTTTAGGTAACGCATGTATCATTCGGTGAAAATAGTTTTTTTTTTATTACACGAGGTTATCATATGTGGATGAAATTGTAGAAATAATAAAATTATTAGTATATCTATTATGAATGTTATGGGTTACGAGACACTTACCGCCTTGGATCTGAAATAGAATCAATAACATATATACGCGGCGTAAAATATATTTCGTCTTAGCAAGAAAGTTAAAATATATAACCTAATTACTTAATAATAACATAATATCATGTCCGTATAATTTGAGGTGAATTTCCTTATAATTAATAAAACTAACATCTCAAATAAAATTCCACTTATATGATTTAATTTATATAAACATATCATTCGCATTATTTCATGTATTTGTGTAATAGTCATCATTTTTAAACAAAATGTGTACGAATAATTTTATCATCTAATTAAAATGTAAAAAACATCCCTTTTTACATTAACACAGTGTTGAACTATAAAAATGTACAAGGTTTCATGCTTCAAATATCTAGTAGATCCAACTGCTGAAAATAAAATAAATACATCAACATAAACAAGAACATAAGATACCAAATATATTAAGAGAGTGACACCATCATAGTCTAAAAATACAATCAAAATAACCACTTACTTCAAAAACATCTTACATAGAAGTTCTTAACTAAGGTACTATAAATCACATTAATCACAAAAGAGGTCTTAGTCACTATTTATAATATGATTAGTATTTAATAAAAGAAAATTAAGCATATTTTTTATCCCTTAATTATTTTGATTTTATTTTATATATTTTTAAATTAATTAAAATTAAAAATAGAAACAATTATTATTATTTGTAGAACATTTTTGTGATTTTTATTGATTATATGTCTTTTTAATTATCCCTTTTTTATTTTATGAAATTCCTTATTTATTATTTAATAAAATCTGCGACCCAGACAAAAATAGGTGTTTACACATCCATTACTCCTTGGATCCCTTGAAGTCTTCATAGTATAGATAGTTACTAGTTAGCCACAGTAACATAGATACTTGTGTGCCGACCTGTCCCTTTTCAGCAAAAGTATGGTTAAAAGTATAGGTCAAGAAATTAGTGTAACGCCTATGATACTTCCATTCTCAATATTTTGTGTGCAATTTAAAAAGAAAGCATTCACCACCCTATATTTTCCCCTGTTTTCTTAAAATTGACTCTGTCTTCCACACTCCTAGTGTATCTGTAACATCCTCAAATTCAACCAACTTTTGCAAATCACCTACTTTTAATTAATGTCTCTCTTCCTTTTTGTTCTTTTGCCCAGATTTAGTTTTTGCTGCGGGTTGTGTTATTTATTTATCATTTCATTTTTTTTCTTTTGTTTGCGATCCTTGTTTCTTCTTAGAATACAATAGGAAATTTTTGTTCTCTTAAATTAGTTAGGTTCTATACAATGACGTGAGAATATTCTGTGCACACCTCAGGAAGGAAGAAAATTTCACATTTTATTTATGCTTATGTATTGTTTCCCCTTGTGTATGGCTCTTCAAGGTTACATGTGTAACATCTCAAGATTTTACTCCTTTCTCATATACGTATATATGTGCAACCATATTTAAAGATTTTCTTTTCTTACTCTAATTGTTTCTCCTTGATACTTATCTAGGTCTTAACGTGGTTAGAACCATTCACGTCGAAATTTTAATACATTGACCCTGCGCGAAGTCCTTTCCAAATGTCTTATACACACACACACACATATATATATATATATATATATATGTATGTATTGTTTCAGATCTCGATGGTAGTTATGCGTGTATGTGCTTGGTTTCATCTACAAATTAAATTTTTCCTTTCTTCTACCACCAAAGACAAAGTTTCGGTGGATGAATATAAACTGCATGGGAGGAAAATGAAGTACCATTTTAAAGGAGCACGTCCAGCCTTGTATTTTGAATCTCTTTGTGCCTCTAAGGTATTTAATTATCCACAAAACCAGTACCCAATCTTCCTATATACACATAGAATATGCATGATACATCAAAGGAGACTTCCAATTTCCATTTTATACATGCATGGCACAAAGTTAAGTGGCCTTTCTCCCACCTTGCACGTGTATTCCCCTTCTCGGTTTATCAAGTGTAAATTCTATCAAAATCTATATATGCATTAGGATGATGGGACATAAATTCTGACTCAAAATCTTGGCATAATGAAATGCAAACCTTCTCATAAATGCACCTCCCCTCACAATTGCAACACATCTCTTTCTCTTCATGTGCTGGCAGCCATTTAATTCCTTATTCCAAATCTGAAATGACCATACCCCTACACATCTCTCCCTTCATAGCCTCACTAATTATTATACTAGCAAAGTGACATTAAAAAATTAAGACACAGTCGTCCAAGGCCTTATCAATTAAATACGCACTGCACACGCGTCCAAAAATCCTCACCAATGAGCAAAACTAACAAGAGAACACAAACTTAACATCTCTTACATGTAACCAAAAGTAAAGAATTTTGTTGCATGCCAACTAGGAGTTAGCCTTTAGTTTTCCATCATCACAAACACTTAACCGTAAAGCTTCAACCTTTCTCCCTCTTCTCACGCTCTCTTATCTTCCTGTCACACTTCAAACAGAAGTTGATTTGACTAGCAAGTGTACTAGTGTTGATGTAGCAAGTTATAAAAATGATAGAACTATGTTAGAGTCCCAAGTATCGATCTCAGGGAATAAAAGTGTTCAATTACCACTTCACAAGGCCACAATTAGTTGAGCTTTATAAATTTCAGAGAGTGTTTGGAATTAAAATTGACAAATATTGAAATCAGAAGAAAAACAAAACAATGAATATGTAAATGTGTGATGAACAAATGTGGAAGACATAGTTAGGGAGTTGTTTCACCAAAACTTCAATGTTGAATCAATAAGGATCTGAACTTTCAAGTAATTAGAAAGAATGACGATCAGTCTCACGTTGTATTATTCAGAGGTTAATTCCTTAACTCAATGAACCTAACATTCAATCAAATCACTCTAATTCCTTAGATCTGGTTCAATTCAATGTTGCTTTAAGTGTAAGAAACCAGAAGATTGCAATATCAAGTTCTCTTATCCCTAAGAAAGCTATAATCCTAGTAATTGATTCAGATCTGAGAAACAAATCCAATTTCCATTGATCAGAGTTTCTATGTGATTAGTTAATTAAATTTCCATTCAATTACTACGTAAAGTGCAGAATCAACCACTCAATTCATTCCAATACTTGAAATCCAAATCTAGAATCAATTCAACACATTTGTTTTGGATCCATAATCCCTAACTATGAAGAATTCAAGCAGCCATTACAACAGAAAAAGAGAAAGAAAGAAAAGGAGAAAGAACGCAGAAGATTCATCTTCAACCGATCTTCAATTTGATTCCTCTAGGTTGAAGCTCGGTGTTTGTCTCCAATCACTCTCTCAGACTCTCTGCACACTAAGAAACTAAGTGGAAACGAAAAATGAACAAAAGATCCAAAGATCTGAGCGTTTCTTCAATTTATAGATTTCCCGCCATGAGCGTGTTATCACTTTACTTCACAAGAATAGCCATGTGCAGGCTTATCTGATGTTCTGGAAGACTGGAGTGATCACTTTCATTCATAAAAGTGGCAACACTGGAAGTCGAGTTGTGCACGTGTTCACTTTCATGAGGAAAAGTGACCACGCGCAACTTGCAAAGCTGAAGGTCTCTCTAGAACACTCACTTTCGCCAGCAAAAGTGATCACGCGCTTCTTGCTACATATGGAGTCTTTCTGGAACACTTACTTTCACCAGCGAAAGTGATAATGCGCTATTGGGCTGAGTTTGAAGTCATCTGGAATGCTCACTTTGGCCAGCGAAAGTAACAACGCACATCATGAAATATTTGAAACTTCTCTGAAACGCTCACTTTCACCAGCAAAAGTGACAACGCACACTGTGTTCTTCTGAAAAACGCTCTGGAACACTCACTTTCACTGATAATAGTGACCGCGCCCAGCTCAAACTCCATAAACCTTGTTCTTTGAGTCCAGACTTGCTACTTTTCTTCTATCTTTCCATTGATCTTCCATCTTCATGAACTTTGCTTAGAATTTTTTACAAAAACATGCTTGAATTATTAATTTCTACACAAAAAATTCACAAATGTTAAAATAACTATGTATTTAAATAAAACCTTCAATCATTCTATTTTTATAGGTTTTTCTGCTTTTTTCAACATATTTTCCTTATCAAATGACTTAAAATTATAGTAAAATACTAGTAAAAATATAGATTCATCACTTCCTATATTTTGTTCTTTCACTTTGTAACTTCGAGAGGCTGCTGTCAAAGATTTATATTGAGCTAAATCGAGACCCTTCACACCCAGCATTTTCTCCTCTGTCACAAGACTTTTCTTAACAAGTAAGAGGGAGTCCATATTAGCTGAAAATCCTTGTTGAAATTTACTGTATGTTCTATTAAAATTTTTTTCCATATATGAAATAATAAAATTGTCTTCCTTGCTGAAAAAAGAATGAATAATAATTAATTAGAAATCGAATAGTTCCATGTCCATATATCCTTGCATGTGGAAGTCATACTATAGATTTTTTCTTTTGATAAAATTATAATTAAGTGACTGAAGGAGAAATGAATGGAAAAACGTTGAATGATCTTTATTATTCTGTACAAATGATCGTTGAATTAAATATGATGGGTGTTC